CCCCAAAACCCCAAAACCCCAAAACCCCAAAACCCCAAAACCCCACCAAATCATATGTGAATTGAATCTCCTGAAACGGATAGCTTAAATTATTTATAATTGGTGTGTCTCAGAAGCGAACACGAAAATCGAATATTTGTGATAGGTTAAGATAAATTAATATGTTATAAAAGGCGAACTAGCTCGCCTAGAGGATTAGTAAGGAGATAAATCCTTACAGAATTAATCGATATTCTTCTCGCAAAACTTGGTAAATTTCGCGAACAAAGATTCGAAACTCAACTTGTCTCCGGAGAGTTTGATAAACTCTAAACACCTATTAGTGTTTTCAGGCTTTTTAAGCACATTGACCATGATGTGTGTTTGTTTGCCCTCAGCTTCGGATTTTAGTTCGACTCTGAAGAACTCCTTCGATTTCTCATAATCGACCTTATTTTCCTCAGCGCAGATAATAAGTTGGTCAATGAGCAATTCAGCATCGTCAACTTTGTAGAACTTAGTATATTTAGTTTCTTGGTGAGCCTTATTATTTTCAGCATTTTCTTTATTCTTTTCACCTGAATCCTTCTTTTGCTTTTTCTTCAGGACCTTCCTTCTCATTTTGAATTCATCCTGAATCTCCTCAGCAGTAGGTACTGGGCCATTATACCACTCATGAGCCTTGATCTCAGCGAGGTTCATCCTCTCAACAGGATCGATGTTCACCATTCTGGAAAAGAAATCAATGAAATTTTTTGAAAGTGGTAGGTCGGAATGGACCTCCCAGAAGCTCTCCCAGTCATTAGTGGCAATTGATTTATAATACCTATCAACCTCCTCAGCTCTGATGAAGGGAGGATGCTGGGTAACAAGGATAAAGAGGATCACAGCAGCTGCAAAGAGGTCAGCTTCTTCTCCTCTGTAGGGTTCACCAGCTAAAACTTCAGGAGCCATGTACCCATAAGTACCTTTTCTGGTATAACTTATATCATCTTTAGTTACGAAGCCGAAGTCACCAAGCTTAAGCTGGAAATGCTTGTCTAAAAGTACATTTTCTGGCTTAATGTCTCTGTGCTTATATCCTTTCTCATGCATGTATTCAATAGCATCAATGAGTTGATGGAAAAAGTATCTTGCGTTTTTCTCAGAAAATCTTCCAGTTTCGGCAATGTAATCGAACAGTTCACCACCTTCTGCATATTCGATCACCATATATTTCAGCTTGAGCTTAGATCCATCAGTTCTTACAGCTTTAGCTTCAGTCTTATAGTCAATAAGCTTAAGGATATTTGGGTGGTCTAAATCCTTCATAACATTCACTTCGTTCAAGAAAGCCAATTTGGCCTCCTTCTTCTTATCTTTTGACTCATTTTTCATGATCTTCATGGCAAATTTGCCTTTATCATTCTTGACAAGTTTAACTCTATAGGAAAAATAAGTCTGAGGTCGACAAACCACATAAAAATTACAAAAGAAGGGGTTTTCACCTACTTTGAAAAGGCTCCTTGTCCAAGAGTGTTGTAAAGCTTATATCCATCCACTGTTGTCATTTTAGTTATATTTAGTATTAATTAATTACTAATGGACTCAGTGTTTATAAATTAATCGGGGTTTTGGGGTTTTGGGGTTTTGGGGTTTTGGGG